ACATTTAAGCGAAATGGCACTGCAAGTTGTTGACAATGCTGCATATAACAAAATCTGGCCGATCTTTTCCACCAAATTCTTCAGTTTTAATGCCACGACACATGACGTCGCTTAATTCTAACGCGATAAGCTTTGCACAATCCTCTTTACCCAAGTAGCACAAGAGTTCAATGCAAAGTCGTACTACACCGTACGGTGATATTTCCCGGCAATCGCTAAGCGCCAGTTTCATTTCTAAAGGCTTGAAAACGGCAAAACGTTCACCTAGATCTACGCAAGAAAACAAAGATGCTCCACCGCAGACCGCAGAAATAGCGGCATTAATAATGCGACCATAACCGGATTGACTACAAATAACATCGAACTTTTCCGGATTCATAACAATGTTACGAGCCATGGTATTGATTTTCATATCATTCAACTCCAAACATTCATATTCCTCTTGATGAATCCGCTGCGCAAGCTCTAAAAAGAGACCATCAGATTTGGGCAACATATCTGCTTTATGGCCGATGGTTATTTTTCTGCGACCATTCTTTAATGCTTCGCCGAATGCAAAACGTAAAAATTGACTTAATTTCTCAACAGTAGTTATACGTAAGGTTTCGACGACACCTTTCACTGGTTCATATTCAAGTTTGGCATAATCGCCGACATTGTTCTGAGAATATGACCAAATGTTTACGTTGGTTCGTTTGCAATTATAACCTGGGTGAGATTTAAACTTCGCAATGCAAGCGAACAAGTCCAATTGACGATTCAGTTGATAGCGCTTTTGTAATGACTCTGTATCCAGTTCTAAATCCAAATATACTGCCGTACGGTTTCGCAGAAGCGAGTAATAATCTTCGCCTGCTACAGTAGCGCTCGATCGACTTATTGGGATGTTTTCGAATGTAATGGGAAGTTTTGATATCTCTATTAAACTTTTCAGATGTTTACATGCCCGTTGTCCGATCCCAGTATCTGCATGCAATAAGGTAATGACAGTTTGACCGCCATATTGAGAGACCGGTGGCAAATGGACAACATACGTTGGCATATCGTCTTTTAGAAATGCTTTGTCTAAAGACTCTACCTTGCTGTGCGCGAATCTTTTTATTGCACACCTACTACTACAGCGAGATAAACGCGCTACATGTGCTATCTTTTTCGCGAATTTTAACATATTTATTAAAACTGTATTTGGAAAAAAATAGATGTGAAAAGTTCTTAAAAAATATATTTTGCTTTAAATAAAATTTGGATTTTTCGGTGAACAACAAATTGACAAAATACACACGAATTGATTGCTTTTCATAGAATTTTAGTAGCAAAAAAATTGAATTACTACTCTTTCAATAAAGATTTTCATTTAAATTGTGATTTAATGAATGGTATTTGAGATTGATTCAGTAACAAATAGGAGAAAGCCAAGGCCATGTTCTTACCTAATCGACGCTGCACATTTTTTTCTGTCAATGGGGTTCACTATAGGACTAAAATGCTTGACAATCTTATTTTTCTCGTGATTTTTATACTTTAGGTCACCTGTGGTACAATGCTGGATTGAATTTGTGCAAAAACACAGAAGAATTTGAAATAGACTCTCTTTTTTACCGATTTATTATTATATTGATCGATTCAAAAAGTGATTCTAAGCTTATCTCTCCATCTATCCGTCTGTCCTACTTAAGTTTTGTGATCAATCTACAGGCCGCGATATTTGAGAGATGGCGGAATTCGGCACACTGGCCTATTTTATTTCAAGAACGAACGCTATTAGAAGTGGTTCAGTGGTTATTAACCGTTGTTGGCAGCTTTCCGATGCTGATGGTTTCATTTCATCCAGTTGACCTTTCAAATAGGGCTATTATGCAGATTCAGCTCGATATTATAATGCCACCATTGTTCATCTCCCGCACTGATTTAAGAACACCAAACTTTCAATTAAGTAGTAAAAGCAAAGTTTCGTGTAAAGTACCACGAGTCGACACCAAAAGTTACATTACGTACTCGCTCCCGGGCAATTTATACTATTAAGTAAAGTCTAAAAGCCATGTAGCACTAGCTCTGGCCTGTCTCCGCAAACAGCGCGTATGTTTTCCATGTTGCAACGTGAATAGTAAGTGGGATTATATATCTCCGCTGGGTTATTTCAACAACTGGATGTAAAATGTCACAAGGGCTAAATAAGAATCGAATTAATGCAAACCAATCTCGGTCAGTCACCTCGGCAATTTACTTTACTAAGAAAAAAGTTTCCGGAATTTTAGCCAAAGAACACGTTTGGAATCGCGTAATCCAAAAAGATTATAGAAAAATTAAAAAAAAGATATCTTAGAATTGGGGTGAAAAAACCTAAAATCTTTTTTTTTGATCCATAGCGAAAACTTTGTTAAATTTTTTTCTTTGCTGCGATAAAATGTTTATTTTTTTCTTGATCTTTGGGCATTGCAAACAATTTCGTTTATATTTACTTTCTTTGTTGTTATCTTTATATTAATAAGTTCGAGTTTTTGTGGCAATATATGTACATTTTGTCCGTTAATAAGGTGAAAAGCGTTATATTACGGAACTGTTAAACCTGTTAAACATTTTTCATTGCGTATTATTAATATTTTTATACAATATATTTCTCGAACTTAATACATTTAACTTTAAGATTATTAACAAAAGGGGTATTATTGTTAGTGTTACCTTTTTGAGGATATCATAAAAGGTTAGCACTAAGTAAAAGTTGGCTAAGAATACCACGTCGATAGCGAGCTGGTTAATGTTATAATAAATAAATAAATAGTTGAATCGGGTAGATATTTCGCAATAGCAAATCAATAGTGAAATGTAACACCGAAATTAACTAAAACAAGAAAGAAGTTTCTTAAATTTAGACTTAGTTTAAAATGTTAACTGTCAGGTTTCATTAAGCATTGCTACCTAAGCACCGAATACATATTTTTGTTTTCTGTCAACTTGCCTAAAGCTATGTGGTTCCTCCTGCGTATCATAGTTTAATCTTAAGTTATAATTCATATTTTAACCATCATATTAGTTATTGGAGTTTAGGAAAATTGTTAAGCAGCTGATAATTACGAAATTTGTAGCTGAGTATTGAATAAATAAATAAATAAGTAATTAATTTAATGTTTAAAAACGTATCCTTAATGTTTTTGTACTCCATTCATATCTCATTCATATTTCGTATTACCTTTAATGAGTTAAGAAGAAAGTTCGTGGCGGTTGTCTTACTAGATGGGATAATTTTGGTAACAAAACTCGTACAGCGCGCAAGTAAGGTTATATTTGGCAGAAATTTAAAAAAAATATTGCGACTTTTTTCAACAATAATAATTACGTTTTGCGAATGAGCCAATAGTTAAAAAATGAAATGTTTGTTATTACAATACGACTTCTACCAAGCTAGCAACGCACAGCGAACTTATCAAAAAATTTGTGTCGTTTATGATGAAAATGTTTTATCAACATTCGCAGAACGCTGTAAATAATTTCGGATTTAAAACGATGTTCGATATTTCGTTGTCACAAGAATTTAATCGATCGGAACTCAGCATCTACAGTAATGAAATGAAATCGAGAGCAACGGAACACGCCACATACAACAGTCATAAGGGGAAAAGATCCTGGATGAATGATTCCGCTCAAACAATTGTGAATTGATCCAAAGATAAGATGTCATCGTTCATTACGACAATCCCAGACCGCATATATCCCCAATAAGTGCCCGGTCGAGTGCGGTACGTGTCACTCTCTGCGAAAGACTTAACGATCACTTTGCTCAACTTTTTTGACGTTATCGATTAAAATGGTTAAACAAATTAAAAAAAATATGAAAGAATTTGTTGAAATCTGATGAATTTAGACCTTCTTCTTAATTGGGGATCGCTGGCTGAAGTCATTTGCAAACATGCGTGCAAAAGATAGAAAAAGAAAATTTCTAAATTTTTCATAGTAAAGTCATCTTATTGATCACTCGATCTAAAGATTGGATGGGTTCTATTGTGACATCCAACTTTTTTTAAAGTTTTCGTTTCTTGGTCTATTCAGAATTATGGTTGGCATGGTTCACAACATTTACGAAGATAGGTGTGTAAGCGATCTGTTTGCCATAGAACTGCGATTTTCTTGCTTGCAAAAAAAATGGCAAAATATGTTTTACGTTATATCACAACAGCGCCAATTTTCTGACACCTTTACAATATTTTTTTTTTTATTTTATTTGACCCATTTATACATAAAATTCAACTAAAGAAAATTCCAGTCGAATTCAGTGCATCCTAATAGAAAATCTTATATTAATTGTTTTAAAACTAGTATACAATAAAAAGAAAGAAAAAAATATGAAGAAAAATAACAAAGTAAGTTTGAAAATAAATTAAAAAGTTAAAAATAATAATTCTTGTATAAATAAATAAAAAGAGGGAAAAAAAGAAAAGAAAAAAAAGCATGTACACGGCTAGCACAGAAGTACACCCGCAACAAGAACAGATCTAGGTTGCAAGTGAACTCCTAAAACATTGCAAACATGCCTAAGCTTGGCAACCAACACATTAACACGTTAACAACACTTATTATTTTAAATAAGAAATGACATATTAAGAACGAAATGTTAGTTTAAGTACGACATAGGTAAATCGCGCATATTAAGCAAAGTTGCTTCAATAGACTTTAAAGACGCCTTTAATGAGAACAAGTGATAGACATCATTTAGGTTTCTACAAACAACTCTGTGCGGGTTAAACAGCTCATAATTGTAATTACTTTGACTGAGATTAATCAAGATAAAGTGCTTAGAGAAGCGGTTAGGGACATTGAAGCTTATCTCACCAAGTAATGCGGGCTTACTTTGATTAAGAAGGAAACCCCAAGAACAAATCTACGCTTCTCAAGAGACGGTAAGGACAGCAGAAGCAACCTATTTTCATAGCGAGGAAGAGAGGCATTCGGATCCCAACCCAAATTTCTAAGAGCAAACAGTAAGAATTGCTTTTGAACAGATTCAATTGAATCTACATAGTACCTATATGGAGGACACCACACAACAGAGGCATATTCGAGTATAGGTCTAACCAAACACATGTGCAGCCTTTTCGTAATGTAAGGATGATCAAGCTCTTTATAAAGCGAAGCGCAGACCTAGCTTTGCTTAACGAGAGCTCAATATGCAAGTTAAAACGTAATCTATGGTCAAATAGAACGTCTAAATCTGTGAACGAATCAACGCCCTCCAACTTGTGCGAATCAATGAAAAACTGAGTAATGACTAACTTTCTTCTTGAGAAAGAAAGCTTCTTAAATTTATTTAGATTTAGAAGATTCAAAGAGCACCGTGCCACCAAATTATTCAAGTCATTTTGAAGCTGATGTGACTGCGATTCTACGGAAAAGGCAGAAAACAGTTTGACATCATCAGCAAACATTAAGATCTTGCTGGATTTAATCACCGAGGCCAAATCATTAATGTATAAATGAAATAAAATGGGTCCTAAGTGGCTGCCGTGAGGTACGCCAGACGCCACGGGGAATTCATCCGAGGTAATGAAGTTAAACCGAACCCTGAAAGATCTATTGTGCAGATAAGAGCTTAACCATTTCAATAAATAGAAAGGGCAGCTAGAGACTTGGGGTTTAAGGATAAGTAAGTAAGTACTATCACGAAAGAATTAACACTGAAGCGATTTTACAGCCACTACTTGTCCCTGTTTAACTTGCGGAAATTATTCATTGTTGTTCATCTGTTAGCAATTGTTGTTAGCTTAGTATATTTTTGCGTAACGTAACTTATTATGAACGATAATTATAATCGAATTTGAAGACCGGGCTTTCTAAGTTCTATCAAGTCAACTCTCTTGAATATACGCGTTTTGCCTATGTCGTATCTAAATTAACTTTTAATCTTTAAACCTTCGCACGATTCGAAAACTAAGCGGAATATATTTAGTACTATCGGTTACCTGGCTTTTGCATGTTTGCAAATGGCTTAAGTGCTCACTCCCGACACGAATCTTCACCGGTTGCGTGTTTGTATCCGTGCTGTGCACATGCTTTCTTTTTACTTTTTCTTTTTTTGTTTATTTATAAATGAATTTTGTTCTTTTCATTTTTTTTTTGTTTGAGTTTTTTGGTGTAAGTTTCTTGTTCCTGTCTTAGTTTTTTGACGTAAGTTTCTTT